CGCGAACCTTTGACGTAGTGAGCGAGCGATCCGAGGTGGTCAGGCCAGCGCGGACAGCAAGCAACGATGATTTTGGGGCAAACGGCTCTCTGGACGTCCCACAACCTCCCGGGCGGAAAGCTCTGGCTACGAACGCGATTCTACAAGAGAAGCTGTCATGGTACATGGACACGGTTGAGGTGCACTTGATTTCGGCCATATCCACCGCATCGACATCCTTCTTCGCCGCGCTCGGCTCCCTCCGCGAGCTTCAGACGGAAGCATCAGATTCGGTCGCAAGGATCAAAGGTCTCAGGGAAGACTTGAAGAGGCTGGATGAGCAAATGGCAATAGGAGGCTTGAAGGTCGTCGAAATGAAGAGGCGGAGAGAGAATTTGAGGAGGCTGACAGACTCGGTCGACCAGTTACAGGCTGTCATCGTCGGACTCTCGCACTGCGACGAAGCCGTTGTCGATGGTGACCTTGAAACCGCCATGGCCCGGATAGAAGTCATCGAACGACTGATAACAGGCGCGCTGGACACGACTGATACACAGAGCACCTCATGGCTTGACACACGATTACCTCCGCAGTTGATCGATTTGCGACACTTGAGAGCACTAGACGGAGTCTTCGAGAACATTACCGAGCTCAAGTTCCGCGTGGGCAGAGGCTTTGAAGTACGCTTTGTCGACACTCTGCTCACTGACCTGCGAGAGCATGTCAAGCGAGTTCCGGCTCATGATACCCTGGAACGATGGACTGCTGCATCGCAAAAAGCACGCGGGGCCAACCAGAAACCGAAGACGACCTTACCAGCCTACATGACGACAGATGAAAAGTTACGAGCGGAGCTACGAGCTAGTCTCTATGGCCTGAGCGGAGCACAATTCACCAACCAAGCTAGCGCAACTTTCAGGGAGGCTATGATCAAAGAGATGAAAGTTCTCATCCGGAAACATTTGCCGAGCTCATCAGAAGACGATACTGGTTCTATGGCTTCTGTGTCAACAAGAGGCGGTCGAGGAACTAGTCAGCAGGACAAGAATTCGATCCTTGCGCGTAATTTGCGCGCAATGGATCCTGAGGACGCCGAGGTCTTTTTCGCTAATATTTTCACCAACATCGGAGAGGCGCTCCGCCGTCTAAGCACACTGATCAAGGTGCTTCTTGATGTCACAAGCGGCGTGACTACCCCTCCCGCCTCTGCTGGCGGGCTTCGCTCTCCTCCAAGGAGTCCGTATATGCACAGTATCGATGATTACGTGGGCAATAACGTGCCAGCGCCAAGCTCCAACGATCTGCAGATGGAACTTATGCAAGCTCTGGATATGTCAAGTTTGTTAGGCCAGGCTGTCGACGCAGCACAGACACAGATCACCAAGCTCCTCAAAGTTCGCTCAGAAGCTACAGCTAATCTCCCATTGGAACGCTTCCTACGGTACTTCAACATGTGTCGGCTTTTTGCGGATGAGTGTGAAGCTGTCTCAGGACGTTCCGGTGCTGCACTTAAGGGTGTGGTGAACACCCACATCAACGACTTCGTCTCCAAATTTGCAGACTTCGAGAAACAAGAACTGATAAAAGCAATGGATTCAGATCGTTGGGAACCGAAAGACTTTGACGCAAGCGACACTGTGGTCCTAGCACGGTTGTTGAAGGGAATGGAGAGCGACCCACCAAGCTGGGCCGAAACTGGTGACATTCTTCGAGAGATCGAAAAGCCGACCACAAATGGCACTTTAGTACAAACCAACGGCGCATCCGAAGAGAAGCCAAAGGAAAAGAACAAGACCACTATCCCTGCCGTTGTGGATGAGGAGAAGTACACCATCTCTGAATCATCTACAGTCGTCCTTCGAGGTATCGAGCGCTTCGAAATTCTGGTTTCCGCGATGCCAAGTATGACTTCGGAAGTCTCCACCTCCCTTTGCGACTACATTAAGCTTTTCAACTCCCGACTTTGTCAACTGATTCTCGGCGCGGGCGCCATGCAGTCAGCTGGCTTGAAGAATATCAACACCAAACATCTCGCCATTGCTTCTCAGACACTTTCCTTCCTTGTCGCCATCCTACCTTACATCCGCGAGTGCTTCCGGCGCCGTACTGCATCAGCTTCGAACAAATCCTCAATCGGCGAGTTTGACAATGTCAAGCGCCTGTTGTACGACCAACAAAACCAAATCCACGAAAAGCTCACAGGCATCTTAGCTGGGAGGGCGAAGGTTCACATGCGCAGCCTCAAGAAAGTGGAATGGGATACTGAGGCTGAAGTCAACAAAGATGTCAGCCCCAGCATGGAGAGCTTGACCAAGGACACGGTGACCATGCATAAGGTGATTAACAAGTACTTGAGCGACATTCAGGTCCGCATGATTATGGGACCTGTATTTGAGAGCTACAGAGAGGAGGTCGGTGGTGTCATCAAGGAGGCGGCAGTGAAGACGCCCGGTGGTAAAGCACGGTACGTGACAAAGTCAATTTCGGGAAGTGTATGATAGCTGACACCACTCAGATTGCTACGCGAGGCGAAGCTATTCGATGCGAAACTCGGGCCTATCGATGGTGCTGGCAACGTTGGTTCTCATCTCATCGGTCTCGTAGTCAGCAAAACTGTTGCGCAGCCCAAGGCGGAACCTAAGGTGGAGCCTCAAAAAGAAATCAAAGAGAACAAGAGCGAGGAAACGGAGCAGAGCACAGAAGTGGAGGCCGAGAAAGCGAGCACCGAAGCGACTTGAAGTGAGACAGCATCCGAAATCAGCCTCCAGTCGCGGCTGGTTACGGAATGACGCTTACGCTTCATTGGACTAGGTGACGGTCTCGCGATGGTCGTCGCATGGTCCCGCTGCAAGGAGAGAATGACTCTTCAATGGCCTGACCACATCACCTCCGAACTACGTGCACATTCAGCCCCGATGAGTACTATGATGGAAGTGGCCAACGACTACACGCATCTTCACCCACATGTCACCTTTCATGTATCATCACCACCCAGCAAGGCGTTCTGGAGTAATAGAAGAAGAGAGATCACTACGGGGCAAAGTGTCGTTGGATGACGTTGATATTGTGGAATGGGATGATGAGATACTGATGTTATACCATTCAAGAATCATGATCTTTCAAGGCCCCCAAAGGAAATGCGGACTCTCTGTCCATACCTCGCCCGATGTGTGCCCGCCCTTATTTCGTTTGTCATCCCCACTGGATGTAGCCCCTTCTGTAGTAGTCGCAGCGGCCTGCACATGGCTAATGGTTATCATCACTATGCCTCTGTCACCGCCGCCACCCATAACGACCACCGTTCCATCTCTTTCAGAGTTCGTCTTCGTATCGTCATCGTGACCGCTCGCACTGTGCCTCTCATATTCATGTACTACTACATTATCTTCTTCCAACTTTCCTTCTTCGATGCTGGTATATGACTCCGTACGTACTTCTGCTTCGGGCTCCGGTTCCGCTCCCTTCTCCTTGTCGCGTTCTTCGTAGTCGTGCACGCCCGCTTGCAGAGCTAAATGCGCGTTCATTTCTGCTTCTGAAATGCCAAGCTTGATGTGTAGTGGTTTATTTGACCAGCTTGTCGTAACTTGTTCGCTTGTGTATTGTCGTGGCTGGGAAGACATCGGTAGTTTTAGGGTGAGAGAAGGTCTCAAAGAGAGAGGAAGAGTGGGTTTTAGGAGCTATTGGAGATACAAAGATCCCAGATGTTCACGTGTGATTGGAACTGAGCTGCATGTGAAGTGCACATCATCATCACCGGCAGATTTCTGTTGAATTGTTATGCTTGTCAATTCTTCATATTGACGGACTGCATAACGCATACTGTCCTAACGCGCCACATTCCACTTCTGTGGAAGAGAAGAAGGAAGACCGTGTTAGTGTGACAAATAACCACACTGTCTGAAAGCAATATCGAGAACTTCGGTATCGACATGCAGACCCTCCACGCTGATCATCTTCAGTTACCACCTTCGTGACCCCTCATCGGCGGACGCCAGCAGATGTAGGTCTTGGCAGTTGTAGGATGCGCCCAATTCACTTGATCGGGTCCTACGGACATGATGAGAGCGCCTTCTTCTGTAATACGTGTCAGTTGATTCCTTGCCAATCAGCGTGCAGTCTGGGAGCGCCGCAGGTACTGCAAGTAGAAAAACGGACACACTTACCGTCAAAGTACATGCAGAATCCGCAGTGGCGGTTAAGGATGCCCTCGATAGTGGAGCCCGCAGCTAGATCGAAGCTGCGATAGTTGAACGATCCATCTTCGCGCATTTCCTGGTAGATGGGATCGGAGACTGGAGTACTAGTATATATGCCGCATAATCTAGTAATTGGCTCATCGGCGGCGGATCTCTGGACGGGGGAAGAGTTGTGGGAACGGACGTAGGCAAGGACAGCAGCGACGTCGGCGTCGTAGGTTGCAGAGCCGGGGACAGGAATCGCGAGCGGAGAGTGTAGCTTGAAGTCCGTGGGTGCGGCAATGACGCACAGGGCGAAGATGCACGCGAGCAGAAGATTCATGAGATGCATCTTGGGCGTTTTGGTGGTTGTTTCCTTGAATGACTTTGTTGCGCGATGGGTGGAAGGAGCAGTGGGGTGAGTCTGGGGAAGACTTTACTACCTGGGAACAGGCGTGGTAAAAGAGCGCGCGGGAGTTAGTGCGCTAATTGTGACACAGGTCGAGGTGACTGTCCGAGCTCGGAATGAGCGATTGTAAAAAGGCTTACTCCAATCGGAATGTGGATACAGGTGCGTGGTGATTAACCTTAGCAAGGAAGTGGCGCGTAGATAGAATCACCGCATTATATCAACGAGCCATAGGAGATAGTGGCATATGACCTGATGTTTTCGTAATTCTAAAATAAACGAGTGACTAGAAAGTTGGTGAAAGCGAACAAAGAGAAACAAATAGGAACACCTTGCAAACACCCACGTACGTAGATTGGAGTGTTGGACCCAATCTACTACATCGCCATCCTCGCCTCGTACCATCTACTTTTGCAATTGCCGGGAGGATGACTTCTCTACGGCAAAGTAAGGTAGGAAAGCACAGTGAAGGACTTGCATCCGGTCATGGCGTCCCGTGGCCCAATGTCAATCCTGTTTCCAGGGGTCTGGTCCAAGTTGTCCGCAACTTGAGAGCAGGGCACATTCAAGACGCGAACTGGATGACGAAAAATTAGCATAACTATCATTGCAAAATCTCCCAGTGAACATCTGGCTGGATAAAGCTGTGCATTGACTTACTCTTCGTGTTCGGATCCAGAGTGCTCTGATCGAAGAATACAGCAGGGTATGGCCCGATGGTCAAGTCCCGACATCCTGCCTTGCCTGTAACATTGGTTGACGTGAGGATCAACTCAGCTTGAGCTATATCATTGCCGTTGCTACCGCAGCCGCCATCGTTATAGAAACGTGCGCGCACGCTTCCAGATGCCCGTGGAGACAGTGTACCAGGAGCGGCACTAGCGGCGGCCGCAAGGAAGGCAACGATAGTGGTGAGCTGCATTTTGATGATGTTTTGAGTTCTTTTGGCTTGTAGTATTGGAATTGTTTGAATGTAATTGCGATAGATGTAGTGGTAAAGAATCATGAATGCCAGAACAGGCCTCCTTTATACCCATCTGGCGGTAGGACTATCTCCGCTGTACCTATACGCGACATGCTCTATGGATCATCTCTCACCATATCCTCTGAATCAACTCTCCAACCGTATATTCTACTCGCCCTGGTCACGTCCAAATCTGTTGTCGTGAAGGGCTTGGTGAGGTCAGACGCATGATAGTAAGCCATCGCCCAAGACGACCGTTTCAGTAATGGAAATGATGCCGTGTGGATCTGAATCTTTACTGAATGGGCTATAAGTTATGATAGTAGAGTTTTGATATGAGCTCGTGCTTCAAATGCTCTTTCTCGTCGGTGTGTTGTTGCTGACGCCGTGATCAGTTTCCGGTCAGGACAGGGATGCGCAAATTCCCGAGGTCTTGTCTTGCAGCATTGACGCGTTGCGGGAGCTCAAGAGGGAATTTGCGTTGGTTTCTAGTCAACTCGTGGCCTGATGGTCCATCTTTAGCCTGCTGCTACGTCACCGCTACGTGTATACTAGCGCGACTGCCGTCTCTGTACCCACATACTCGAGTTGCTAGATTCTGACCCCGTGCTTACAAGACCTCCCAATACGACTGCGCTTGAAGCTTTCCTGCAAAACTGCGTGTGTGCTAGTAGACTCACGACGTCTTCTACGAGAATGTATCTAAAGGCTGGCGTCAGACTTCGCGTGCACGTAAGCTGCAACGGTAGATATTGTGCAAGTATACACGGGTGCGTCCCAAAAATCTTATATTCTTACTAAAAGAGCGACAAGAAGACTATGAAATAACACCCGCAAGACGAGACCGGAGTGTTGGACCCGACTCATCTCACATTTCTCCTTACACCACTCAACTCCTCCATCTTCACGACTAGACCAGATACTTTAGACCCACTGTGATATTTTGACCTTTTCAGCAGATATAGAGCCATTGTCATACGACGGGATGCCATTTAGATGGTGACCCAGGACCGGATAGCCAAGTTCTTACAGCTGGGAGCCTGGCCGGGAGCGATATCGACAAAATTCCCGCTCGTAGTAGACGTGAGCTGAGAGCAAGGCAAGTTGAAGAACCTCACTACTCTCATCATTAGCGAAGCTCTTATAGCCTCCTAGTAATCATGAAGTTTCACCTACCAGTCCTGCTGAAGTTGTTGATGTCAAAACTGGTGCTGGCGAAAGGCCCAACAGTCAGATCCTGACATCCAGCCAGTCCCACAGTCTCGGACTGCAAGAAGACAGTATCTTCAGCCCATGGAGTGGGCCCGCAACCGTTGTCGCGGAAGAAGCGGGCGTAGACGCGGGGAGCGCCTTCGAGCTGACGCTTTTCCTCTAGTTCGACGGGTGTCGCGCTTACGGCGATGGCAGTGGCGAACAGAGTGATGAGAGTGGTGAGCTGCATGTTGAAGTTTGGATGTGCGGTCGCTGGGGGTATGAATGGATGGATGGATGTGGAAAGAGGGAGATGAGATGAGATGCTGTGGTGAGATAGAGAACGGTGTACCATGCTTGCTTTATATGTGTCCGTGATGTACTTTCATCCAACAAAAGCAAGCCAAGTTGCTATTACACGTTGTGTCGCTCTACCAACTCTAGTATGAAGCACGACTCGGATCGTGCGGTTGGTGGCTTACATCGCCCACTCGATGTCGGTCGTTTGTAGGACACTTACCACTGTTGCGATGTTGTGAGGGGGCGACCAGAGCACTCTAAGGCTGTTCCATAGCCTTAGGAGCTACACAACAAGAACAATCTTACGTTGGTGCCTGTTGGCGAGTGAGAGTATACGAGGAAATGATGCAAAAGTTCACATCCGTAGACTCCGACTTGAGGCCAAATTCCAGGTACTTGTTGCAAGATGACTCCATTAGGGACATACTACGTAATTTTGCTTACGTTGATGCCAAGTTTATAAGTTCATGGTGCCGCTGACCCCGTAATCCCGATTCCTGAACGTCTCGCGGTCTTAACGTTTTGTGAAATGACGTAGCTTTGCAAACATCCCGGTTTGGTGCTTCGATGCGATCTTGCAGGTAAGCCGGTCGCGTGCATGCATGCACATTCACGTGCAGAGTGGCTGCATGAGTGGGTACGTTCCGCCTACCCGTGATCCCACGCAATCTTATACTCCTACTAACTCTTCATCGGGACTTCACGACGAAGACACTGAGAACGCAATCATCAACCAGCACATAAAAATACCATCATTGCGGTAGACACTGGATCGCTCCATATTCTGTATTCTTATAAATGAGTGACTAGAAGAGCATAGGAAATTCCTTCAAGGTCCTGAATGTATTGTGATGTGAGCCGGAGTGTTGGACCCGACTCACACTACATCGCATTACGACATAACAAAGCCTTCCTCGATCTATCCACCAACAGGCCGCTCGTGAGCTAGAGCATCTACAAGGTGACATATGACTTGAGCGTCAGCGTCTGGCAACCAGCCACGAAGCCCGGCGCGATGTCAATGTGGCGTCCGCTGTCAACGCTAGTAAGTTGCTCGCAAGGAATGTCATAAAAACGGACTACACGTCATCTGTCAGCTCCTGCAAACCCAAAAGTCATTACGATGCGGCGATAACATACTTGTCCTTGTAAGCATGGTCTCGTTGAAGTACGTGCTGGGGAAGTTGAACGAAGGGGGAAAGTTCATGCACGTGCTCAGGCCGGTGGCGGTGGTGTTTTGCAATGGGACATAGTCATCGCCATAAGGCTGGCCGTCGCGGCCGCATTGAGTGTCGCGATAGACTAAGATGGGTATAGCGTTAATACGTGTTCCGTATGTTTTTTGTTGCGCAATGTTGTCACTTACAAGTGGCGCGGACTCGGGGAACTCCCTGACGGGCCTCAATGCCGGCGGAAGGTGCGGCACTGGCGGTCATAGCCACAGAGGCAAGAAGAGAGGCGAGGACTGTAAGCTGCATCTTGGCGTTTCGGGTACTGGAACAAGATAGTATGTTTGATCGAATAGACGTTTGACTGTAATGTTGTGATCTTTCTAGACAGCAGTCGAGCTCTGCTTTATAGCATGAAGGCTATGCACCCATACATTCTGATAGCCTCAGCATACTGTATCTAACTTGCCCTTGTTACGTATAGCAAGCCTCTTTATTCTCATCATGTGTGTCACAGAAGCTCTACTCTCGAAGTCTTTCCAGTCGCCCTAGTTGGTGGCGCATGCCTTTTCCGGGTAGTCCATAGATGATTCATGGTAGAAGACCTCGCTGATGCCTTCGCAAAGGTGAGATAAGCTGCCAAGTGTTGAATTTTTGTTGACTGGTTGTTGGTTGTACTCAGCACACTGGCTTAAAAGCCATGGGTGTTGTCACATGCGTGTATAGCAGATGGTGCAATAAGTCGTATGTGAGCCCGTGCTAGGAAAGATTTCGTTCAATATTGAGCTGATTCTTCCCTAATTTGCTGAATGTGTGGTCGATTCGCGAGCTTGTATAGCGATCAAGACCGGATCCTTATGGATATGCCCACGTCTTGCGCGTTTTTGAGCGTACATATCTGTCAAGAGGTGACACGGTTTCGAGCATACGAGACCAGTGCTGGAATAATGTCTTCTCCCGATATATGTCAGGAGGCCGAGCATCCCAGTCGGCTGGCGCGTGAAGGCCAGAGAGTTGGTCCCGAATTTTCTGACGGGAAATACCAGTCCAGAACAATTGTAGACGGTCAATGTTGGTGGTGACGAGTCACGCCCACGCGACATTCTAGATGTATCGCTGACGTTTACGCATACAGCCAATAAGAGTACTTCGGTCGCCTTATAGCAAGTCAGTCACCCACTATCCGCTGTAAGCTGACGGGTGGCGCTGCTGATCCTAAGGGCGACCAACAGCAGCCCATCAGCAGTGATCAGTGATGCGCGTGGGATGCGACCAAGGAGACGCACAGACGGCCCGTCCCACCGTTTGTATTCCGCCAGGACCTCTCTGAGCGAACGTTCGCTAGCTTTTGCTGCTGGCGAGCGCTCTGTTTATTTTCAACCTATAAACGGTTTGTGGAGGAGCGTATGTAGGACTATCAATGGTCTGCAGTTTAATCATTTTCGTATAGTTGAGTTGCAGTCGAGGTTGGTTTGAATTCGGTGCTAGAAGACGGCAATCTTCGGCAAGGGCTTATTTTTCACTTCCTCAAACGTCATCCGTCTACTCATGCCCAATTCAGCATATTCCGATCGGTCATTAGGATACTGGAAGTTTCCAAGCCCTTGACTGACCATGTATCTTTCAGCTTCCGAATTAGAAGTACTTGAGGCCCGCACACGGTCCGCAGATCTCAATCGCCGAACCGGCACCGGTTTTCGAGTGATGACAATCGCTTCGAAAACGAAGCCAGGCTTCTGCTGAGGAGAGGAGGTATAATCCGGGGCACTGGCTGTGCGGATGTGGTGTCTGTCAAGACCTCTGACACGTTCAGTGCCAGGTATGGGTGTTCCCTTTGTGATAGCATACGCGATCTCATCGGGACTGGCTATTTCGCCGTGATCAGGAACTCCGAAGGTGTGATCCCGGCTGTTGGAACCATTAGAGCCACTTCGCGAAACAGTGCTCAAAGAGCTCAGGCGGCTTGGACGAGTGAGGGACATCGAGGAATGTGAGTATCGGATGCTATGACGAAGATCAAGATCGCGTGAATAAGGGCGCGGGCGCGATGCATTTAGTGTGAAATCCGAGCCCTCTGGATGAACGGCGCGCCATGTAGATGCCGAATACCGGGCCTGCGTGAACAGAGGTCCGGAGTCGCATTTGCTTGCTGAACGCGACGAAAGAGGCGGGCGATTCAAGGCTCCTCGGTTGGCAGAGGACTGTGATGCAGAAGGTAAAGTATCGAAAGAGGATTTACGATACGAGGCCATAAAAGCGGAGGGTATAGGTGGCGGGGCATGATGCGAAGTAAAGACT